AGCTGGAAAATTCATTTTCAGTGAAGTTTCAGCAAATTTTCAGCAGTTTCACTGAAATGTTCCAAAACGTGGAATAATCTTAGCGAAACTTTTTCACCAGGAAAGTCGATGATAAGAGGAGAGTAACAAATCGTAAACAAAGTTTCTATATACAAGACGAAAATTGAGACAACGAAACGTAAAAGAGGTGCAATATAAATGCCTTTTCTTACGTTCATTTCTTACGTTCACGCTTAATTGTCATACTCTCGATTACTTTCGAATCCCCTCATATTCGATCTGATGCAACAAGCTTTATTGTTAGCTAAATATTCGCAAGAAAATTAAGCTTGAAATTTTAAATCTACGAATTATAGAAATTTTCCAAAAATCGACAGAAATTTCCTGAAATTTCAATTTCAGAAATTCGATCGTGTTTTATTTTTCAAATATTTTTAAGGTGACTTCAATCAAACTCCGACTAATAATATTTGATCAGTAATTAATTTATAATATTATCATGTTATAAGTAAAACTATAAGTTAAAATATCATTGAAAAATCATTATTTTGTCAAGAATTCACAAAACTATATCGTCAAAAGTATATCGAATAACATATCATGATTTTTTCTAAAAACTTCTTACCTACTTATAATTAATTGTTGATTTTATAATAATTTTGAGGTAGCGAGTCCCAAATTTATTATTACATTTATTTTTAATTCGGAATTATATTTATTAATATGAATAAAATATTAATTTTAACTTGTAGACGAAAAATTAATAAATTATAGAGAGAGGTACTGAAATAATAAAAAATTTTGCTTAAAGCAATTTTGCTGCCTGAACTGTGTTAGCCAATTATAAGGCTCTTAATGACGATAATGATACGTTACATTGTCGTTACATAATTGTTGTTTTACACTTTGTAAAAAAGCTAACACGCAACAAAAATATAACGACATCGTTAAAAGTTGTAGAATAGAAGCCTAATAAATATTCATAAACGTAGATTAACTTTAATCTTACTTTTATCCTTTTTTTAGTTTTAAAAATTAAAAAAAAATAATGGGTAAATTAAAGTTAATCTACCTACATTGGGTATTTCCATTTAATTAGTGACGTAACGTGAGTCAACACAAAACATTCTATTTTTCTCGATTTTCTGATAGTAACAAAGATAGAACGACACGTATGTCGACTTGTATCTCCAAATGCGACGTAAGTTGATTAGAATTTAGTGACGGCCGACCTCATTTTCATAAACATTTTCTGCGATTTCTTTATTCGTAACATCGCTCGTCAATGATGCCATGTGAATAAGGCTTAATGCTAACTCTAGTAAAACCTAACCTAAAATCGCGTCGATCAGCTGAAGGAACGTGTCTTGGTCCCTTGATAGACAGTTTTATTACAATTTTCATTTCGTTGCCAATTTGTCAATTGGCAACCAATTCCCGTAGTGACATATTTATTCCTTTAAAGCGACGTTAATCACAATTAGAGAGGTAAGGGCGAATCTAAATGGATGAGGTCTTTGATCTCTTGACGTTTGCCATGTATCGTTAACCACTACCTGCCTTCCAGTACAAATAGATGAATTATTATCGATACATCTTCTTTTGTTGTGTATTCTCGTGTGCCTCGGGCGCGTGTTGTTATCTTAATGCTAAAATGTAACAATGTAGCACATTCGCTACTTCGTTTCTCACCGAGTTATTGTTGTCACACTGACCAAAACATTCGATTTAAAAGAAATAATTAAATAGTTTATAAACGACGATATATTCTCGATTTTTCAATTGTATCAAAATTGGCAGAATATTATGATACGATTAATTATTTTAAAATAATTAGTTGGCAAGAGATTGTTTCATATAAAATATCTAAATGCAGCCCAAGCAGAACGAGTCATTATGATGTCAAAATGACTCTAAAATAATCATTAAAAGTCATATTTTAATAATTTCCGATTCATTTTTATGTTATTTTGACGTTCATCGTGACTTGTTGTTCTACTTGGAAGTGAAGTAATGTAATCAATTTTGACAATGAAATAGTACATATATATTCTGCATATTAAAAAAATAATGTGGCAATATTTCATTATTAGGTATTTAATCGATTAAAATATTCATATACTTTTATATTTAATTTTATTAATATCATATATCAGTTTTAATATGCAAGTGGCTGAATTTCTATCAGACATTGCTAATTGTGATAATAAAGTGGATGCTGCATGAATACATGATTATCGTAAGAGTAACCGATCGATTCAACCCACGTCCGATATCCATCAGCAAGATTTTTGTAGAGATACATTATGTCATCCAAAGCTCTCAGAATGCGAGTTTTCTCTGTCAAACTCCGAACGTCACGAACAATGGACATCGGACATCGGACGCGATTCGAATCTATTCATAAATGAATTGCAAACGTTAACGCCAACACGTGCTAAAGCGCCGAGGCATAATCAAGCGTAATGATCTCTTTAGCTCAATAGAATGGGTATAGTTTCCAGTACAAAAAGGACCATCATGCCGTCGACGCGAGACTTCGTCAAAGAATTGATCGCCAAGGACTCGGTTGTCATATTCTCCAAGACGTACTGCCCTTACTGTAAAATGGCCAAGGAGGTACTTGTGCTCTCTGTTTAAGGGGGGCACCTCATGTATCGTGCTGAGAATAATGTAATCTTTCGAAATTTTTTAATAGGAGACTATACGACAAATTCTTTTGAAATTTTCAGGATATGTTATTGTAATATTGAACTAAAAAAATTTTTTTTGATAGAAAAACAATGTGAATTTTATATTTACAATAATTTAATTTTGGTGCATCGGCGTGCAATGTAACGCTGTTTGTATTTATCTGAAACAAAAAAACAAAAACGATTCCTTTTTTGTAGAGCTTACGTTATTAATTGAATCTATTTTTAAAGAGAATAATGTCAAATTATAAAAATGGCGACACATAGAAGAAAAAAATATCGATTGCTACGAAAAATTTTCGTGTTAATTATGTAATAAAAGTAATTTATTTAAACAATATAATTATAAAAAATAAAAAGGTTCAATTTATGAGGAAAGTACTTATCTAGATCTGTGCACAGGGAGGGTTCAATCGGATGAATAGTTTTTGAGTTTATTTTGCACGCCAATTTTAAAAAAGTAGTTTTGAGAAAAACGCGTTTAAAGTTTTAAGTATATATAACCAACAATTTTCGAGTACTAACAGCTAATCTGCTATGCTGGGCCCATAAAGTAAATTTGAATGTACATTATAGAGTATAATCACTGCTTTCTATTTGATGACACAAATCGACACAAGCGTCGTTCTATCCTTCTTGACATTCAGAGAGTGACAAAGGTAGAACGACACTTGTGTCGAGTTGTGTCGACTGTGTCTCTTAAAAGGAAAGCAGCCAGTCTCTATAGGATACACAAAATAAATTTTCCAGTTGTGTTCAAAGCCTAAGGGTCGACAAAGCGCAACGCGCGCTCGGAGCTTTACTTACTTGACGGTCTGCAATAAAATCATCTATAATTACGTCAATTCTTCGAATTAAATTAAATTATTAAATTATGCAAAAAAATTTTTTCAATTTTTTTTATCCTTTACATGAGGTGCCCCCTTAATATGAAATTAAAAACGAAACGACTATGTCACGTACGTGACAAGTGGTTATCTCGCTGTATTTGATTTGTTGATTGTTTGACGCATGCGGGCTTCTGAAATTAAAGAAATACCTTCTGATATTCTTAGCATCTATGTATCTTTGAAAATTAATCAAGTTTTATTTTCTCCCTGTTTAAGTATATCAACATTGCAGTTTTTCGTGAGTTTATTGAATATTATATTCTATAAAAAATTGCCCTTTTTACACTAATTTGCAATTTGCTGAAAAATTATGTCGCGTTTTCTACACTACGATATGTAAATTTAAATATAATAATTTAATATCTAAATTATATTTATTATTAATTATAAAATAAGGGAATTAGTGATAAATTATTAATTTATAGTTTATTTATTTTAATCAATTTCATTAAATTTCTGTGCAGGTGTTTGACTCGTTGCAGAAGTCGTACACAGCGGTAGAGTTAGACGATAGAGAGGATGCGCAGGAAATACAAGATGTGCTGGGTGAAATAACTGGCGCCAGGACAGTGCCCAGGGTATTCCTCAACGGAGAGTGTTTAGGAGGCGGTACCGACGTAAAGAAATTGTTACAGAGTGGCGAACTTGTAAAAAAATTTTGAATTTCCACCGTCGAAGCGTCTTGTGATAAATTGTGAAAATAATTCGTTCGTAATAAGGAACAAATTATTCTAACAATAAATCAAACATACATCTATACTGATATAAGAGAGAAAAAAAGATATCTTTTGAATGGACTTTAATTCCTACCCTTTCATTGATTGCGTTCTTTATTGAAAATAAAGGTAAATATATATGATTGCGTAAACATCAATTATAATTTCACTTATTAATTTTACTTTAATTACTTAATTAGTCATTTAAATTTTATTTATGAAAAGTAGCTTGTAAAATAAAGTTGCGTTTTTTTTATTTAAGTTAAAGGTTTTTCAATTAAATTTCAACTAGATTAAAGTTAGAATTTGATTGATTTGTTTATTGTTGAATAATTCTTACGGCAAAAATTACAAGAAAATTTTTTAATTTGTTATTCTTAATCTCCAACTTTATTTTTGAAAAAATAAAAAACTGATAATTCCATTTAATTAATAAAAGCGATATTATTACACAACGAGTTAATCGGTGATTAAGTATTAATTGCAGTACGGTCGAAGTCAACTTTAAAACTAACTATGATTGACAATTTTAATTTACCTGTATAGAATATCTACATAAAGGAATTGCTTCAAATTTTAGCGCATTCATTAGTCGAATTACGTAAATTTACGCATTATTTTATTATTTTTCACGAATAGAAAGTTACGCGTCTTTCGTCAGCTGCTCTTTCTGCACTCTCGGTTTCCTCTCTCTTGCAAATCGACGTATCAATCCTGTCGCGGGAAGGATTTATTAGCGCGAGTGAAAAAAACTATAAGCTAAAAAAAGGCGGAATAATCAAGTTCAAGTCGATACGGTCGACAACACGGGGCACCACGTGTCCACCTCGATGACGGTGGTGGACACGCACACGCCTGTCTAAAAATATCCGCAGTTTAGTGAGAGTCGCTCGATCGTGTCCATCCAGGGCCGATCGGCCGCGAAGTGAGGAAGAAATGGATCTGACGCGGTACCGCAAGATCATAATTTATGTGCTGACGTTCCTGGCGTATGCCTGGTCCGGTTACGGCGCCGGGTTATTGACAAATCTACGTGACGCGGTATTGGCGGCGGAGACGGTCTTCCACGACCTCTTCGCCAACGCCATAACCGTGGCGAAGAAGATCAAGGACATACACGAGGTGTTCGATGCCGCCGTAGAGGAGCACTGCGTCTTCAAGTGTCCTGACGGTGGGTAATTTCAACGTGTCATATCATCAGCTGTCATCGTCGCGTTATCAGGTTATTCTCCAACGATGCGACGCTATTGGTCGGTTTCCTCGATCGATCCGCGCGGATCTCTCTGGCTTTTAATTGCACTTTCTACACCCCTTTCCTTTTGGCCCCGTTCCCTTACGATATTTTTGGAGCATTTGATCATAAACTCTGATTCATGATGTATCCTTACATCATTCTTTGATTAATGTCCAATTGTCCATTTCTATTAATATAGATTAACTTTAACTTCGGTTTAACTTATTTTTTTATCTCTTTACAGTTTTAAGCATATTACAATAAAATAAATTAAACCAAGATTAAAGTTAATCTACATTTGATAAAAATGAATATAAAGGCATTAAGTTTTTCGTTTTCACTTTCTGGTGAACTTGTGATTCAAACTTAACCTTACTTAAGTTCTCATAATATAAAAGTTGTTTTTTTAGCTTAATCACTAAATTAATAGTTTTGTAATAGTTATTTAAAAAAATACAATTTTTATATTATCATAAGGTTAAGTTTAACCACAAGTTCATCAGAAAATAAAAAATCGGGTCTAACTGAATCAGTGACTCGAATCAATGGCTACGTTTACACCGTACGCTTAGTCCGCGACCTATACGATAGGTGTCTTTGTTTAACCTACAGGATAAACAAGAACATCTATTGTATGTGGTTAACTTGTGGTTAACTTTAATCTTATGATAATATAAAAATTGTATTTTTTTAAACATGGTTTTGTAGTAATTTTTTAAATAACTACTACAAAACTATTAATTTAGTGATTAAGCTAAAAAAAACAATTTTTATATTATAAACTTAAGTAAGATTAAGTTTGAATCACAAGTTCACCAGAAAGTGAAAATGAAAAACTTAATGCCTTTATGTCCATTTTTACCAATGTAGATTAACTTTAATCTTGGTTTAATTACGTAGTGAAGTGGCCTGTTCTTTCTGGCTGAACTTTTGCACCAGTTCATCTTTCTTCCTCTTCTTTCCTCCTGGAGAGAAAGGAAGAAAGATGAAAGGTGCCAAAAAGAACAAGTCTAATGAATCTTTCTGTTATATGTCACGCAACAAAATATCAATAATTCTATTGTAAGCAAATAATATAGATATTATTTGATAATTAATCGCCGATTAATTTGTCAATCGATGATTAAGTTAATCAGAGATTAGTCGAGATTGTCCCATTAATTTTTGCGCATATATTTCGCTAATAAAAATTATTTTCCTTTTTCAACTGCCATTTTGTTACGCTTTCCGTATCGATCGCAGAGGTTATGAAGGAAAAAATTGCAATGAATAATATCTCTTGTTTCTCGTGAGCGCACAAATCACAAATGTGAAACGCGACAACTGACATGGTGCGTCGTAATTGGATGAGCGGTTGCGATTGAACAAATGGCGCATTATTCAAATCATTTTCAGGATCCACGCCGAAGGCAAACTGGAATCACACACCGCGAAGTGACGGATGCGGATCCCTTGGTATTCAGGTTGGTGTGTTTCCTGGAGAGGAAATAAATAAGCGATAAGTGATATGCAATGTTTCTATATGTATCATATAATATAACAAAAATTTTTATCGAATTTTTGTTTGTCAATTAACTGCATAAACAAGTGTGCATCGTCATGCATTTATAATTTAATATATACATTTCTTGATAATTTACAATCTAAGTCAGCAATTAAATTTACAACTTAGTTAATGCTTGTAATTTAATGTGGTCGAGCTTGTGATTTAATCTAGTTAAGTTTATAATTTAATTTACGATATTACTCGAAGTCTATATATTTTACAGTATCTGTCTTGCTTGCAACATTCTTAATTATATTAATTATACCAAAGCAGAGAACAAAAATTCAAGATGACATCAAAATGATTATTAAAAGTCACTTTTCAATCAATCATGATCATTTTAATGTAATTTTGACGTTATCCTGGACTTTAATAAATATAAATGAAGTAATAGCAACATAACATCAATGTTATAATTTCACATTCAACAATAATGTAATTATTGCGTAAAATATGTATGTATTATATTTCATTTATATTGTTGAGTGTGAAATTATATAGAATAAGATGATACAATTTTGAACGAAAGAAAGAATCCAATTTTCAAGATTCAAGTTTGATAAATCGCCTCATATCATTGTGTGGAGGATAATGAAGAGTACCCAGATAGCCAAGCGTGATATAGCGTGTTGTGCAAACTAATACATTGCATATGTTGTTATATATTTGCTGTACATTTGCTGACATCAAAATAGGACATATTATAAATACAACAACATGACTGCTTATATATGTAATCAATTGTCGAAATTTCTAGAACAAACTGTGAGCAATGGTGGTACATTATGATGTCGGCAATGTGTTAGCAACGAATAATTAATCGTTTCATCTTGAGCTCATTGCTAACAAAATGCTGACAATATGACAACACTAGTTATTGTCGAGGATATTCATGTTGACATATTGTCATCAATTTGCTATCGCAAGAATTTGAATTCCATTGAGTTCAACGCGACAGACATAATGCTGTCTCACCTTGTCCTGAGTTTGTCGAAATTGGTTGCTGCAACATGTCAGCAAATACACTGCATTTGGCTATTTGGGTATGTACCAAACAGAAGAAAAAATCAAACTTGAACTTTGAAGATTTCATTCAAAATTGTTCGAAATTGTACCACCTATTGATTTTATGTTACTTAATTGGTGTTGACTAGGCTATTGCTCTACTTGATCGTTTCAAATTATTACAAATATTTGTAGGTGAATCAAGAATACCTTCCACTCGCTGAAATGACAAAGTGCTGCGACGCTCACGACATTTGTTACGACACTTGCAACACAGATAAGGAGAAGTGCGATCTAGAATTCAAAAGATGTCTTTACAAATATTGTGACACGTATCAAACCACCGCCGGCAGTATCGTCAAGACGTGTAAAGCTGCGGCCAAGGCTCTTTTCACGGGAACGATTACGTTGGGTTGCAAGAGTTTCCTCGACGCTCAGAAACAGGCATGTTACTGTCCCGACAAGTGGAGCAAAAATAAGAAACCGAAGAAAGCGGCGCAGACCGGAGGAGAATTATAACGTTGCATATATAATATAATATAAAAATAATAATATGATGTATTTATACAAAGTGTATTAAATGGAGCAGAAATTTGTAAATTTTGGATTTACTAACAAAAGCCAGGATTTTTGTAACGCCGTTCTCCTCATAGCATAATTTGTAAGTCTTAGATTAAACGTATGTCGAATTTTATAAGAGACATAAGAGAGCTAAATTTCCTATTATAACTGTAAAATAATTATTACTAATTAGAAATTTTGTTAAAGTGAAGATAGAAAATAAGAGATAATATGTGCAATATTAAATTAATTGAATGGATTGAGAATGATTTCCCTTTTGTAATATCAAGTGATACTAAAATCGTGTTTGTCTTTTGAAAAAACAATAGACGGTCTTTCTGATACAAATGTCAATGTGACAATTGTCCCTGGTGGATAAAATCACCGTACTGAGACCGGCGTGAATGATAAATAATAAATTATCAAGTAACACTAATTGTAACACTAATTCGCTGACACTTCCGTAAGGTGAAGCGGAAATGGGAAACGCCAGTTCCGCGCAACCTCCCAAGATACATAAAGACCGGAAGGAGAGCGAGTAAGATAATTTCTACTTTATGACGGAACTGGTCTCGTATAACTCTGCATTTTTTATTCTTGATTCGTTCTTGGAACAGGCTTGTTTGAGTCACTCATTTACATCCATTTTAAATTTTTGAAAAAGCGTCAAAAGCCAAGAAAAATATACGCATCATTTTCCTGCAATCTATATCTATACGAAAGACTTATCGATCAATAGGACACGCAAAAGCATACTTTGCAGTTTTGCCTTTCACGTAGCGCAGATACCGGAAAAGGTAGACAACCCGCGAATGGAAGCGGTAAAGCCGCCAGCCAAAGTTCACAGGGCCAAAAGGACGGGCACCGTTCTCGAGCGACGAATCCTTTCATCATTTTCTTTCTGCGACTTCGTAGCAAAAAACCGAATGAGCATGTCACCGTGATAGCGCGAGCTGCGGGCAAATTGTGGTCCCGGATGACTCCCGAACAGAGAAAGAAATATGTGGATCTTGCCAACGAGGAGAAGAAACGACGTCAGGAGAGGAAACGGAAGAGGAAACGATCGTTCACACATTCGAGGTAATCCGTGAAAAAGAAATAAGAGTAATGAATATGAGTAATGACGCGTAAATTATCATCAACTCTAAGCCAAGTGAAGCATTTAAGATAAAAGTGGACTAAATCCATAAAGTTATAAGGTTCAAGAAGCTATAATTATATATCCAAGTAATATATCTAGTAAGAGAAAGTAGAGAAATGTAATATGTAAAATCTAAGAGAAAATATAAATATCTCCCCCAAGAAACCACATAAATTATGGACTTATTTCACTTTTACTCAGAATCCTTCAAATGCAAGCTAGAGATGTGATCGCATTCCTATGTCCAGGATGAAGTAACTAAAGCTTGTAGAGGGTCTATCTCGCGCAAGGAGGTGATCTTACATGCAATATGTCGTCGTACGTGGCACCTGGAAACAATCAAAGACGCGATTACATATTTTTGATTTCTTTTTTATTTGTTAGTAGTCTTTTTTAGATCTATGTACAATAAATATTGATGTATTTTTATACATTATTAATTATCTTATTCAATTATACTCTAAGCTAGGCGATCTGCCGTTTTTCTTTCGTTTCTCTCGTCTGAAAAAATTAAACTCGTAACGTTTCGTACCATAAATATATTATTTTTTTTGTCGTCACGACCGTTCCGCGAAGCGTCGCCCACAACGAGGGAGGGAAATTACGCGATTCGGGGCAATATCTTCGGGGTAACGTGTTTCACACTACCGTTCCTCTTTCCTTCACTTCGCGAAGGGAAATCGACGTATGCTTTCTCTCGCGATTTCGATACAAAAAATAATTTCGGCACGAGTCTCGCGACGCTTCGTGGAAGAGCCTGATTGCGCGCTCCGTTATTCTTTCCGAAACTAGAGCTACCCTCTCGCGATATTAGATAATAAAAACATACAGAGAGTAATGAATACCGAACGAATGGGTGTGACATCATACATGTGACAATTAAAATATAACGCATGAATATGTTTCTTGTGTGAGTCTCTTTCTGTATGTGTGTGTGTGTGTGTTTTTTGTGTGGGTGTCTGTTTTGTATGTGTTTCATCATCTGTCACAATAGTAATGATTATTAATGATAATAATAATGATAACAATTGATAAAAATTATGTAAACGATGGCGCTGACGATCGAGATTGACGATTTTACAATGGTGAGACGATGTCGGCGACAATTAAACGACTTCCGTAATAATACAATGAGGATTATCATAGCATTACGCAGTTATCTTTTCTTCTTTATGATACAGTAAAGTACAAGTGTGCCAACTTAAATAACAATGTTTAACAATTGATAATATCAAACAGAATATTATTCGTAAATATATCCGCATTTTTTTTTCTTTTACCCCCCCCCCCTTTCTTTCTTTGAAATTAGAAATGAAAGAGCGATACCTTGGCCGACAGAAATTAATCCGTCCAAGATAACGTCTGATCTCCCTTTCTTTTTTTTTTTTCTATTTAAAATGCACAAGTATACGAACTCGTGCCTTCGAAGAATCACCGATCGATAACTATGATTAAATTGTACCTTGTGTGCAATCTTTGTCGACAAGTTAAGAATCAGTTTAATACGAGCCTTCCTCGAGTACGGAGAAGAGAAACGTCCCGCTGTCGACGGACGCGGATAAAGAGACGAAAGGGTTATATCAATATCAATTATCCTCCCTTATCTCTCTCCTCCTGTTTTTCTGAAATTGAATGTGCAGTTAAAACAGTAATAAGCATATATATATTCGCGCAACGATTTTGATTGTACTAGGTACACCAGTCATTCGCGAATATAATCTGCTGGGTCACGATAAAGAACTAAAATAAGGTTGTGTGCTTGACGAACGGATTACCGAACGTAGATTCTGCTTATAAGCGTGTCACAGAGCTATCTTGCGATCTGCACTGTCCATTACAGCTATCGATGTATGCCATTTGTATTCGCCAATCGCAGCGATTGCAGCACCATCATCTTCGGAGGCTCCGTGGAGCACCTGGATCGGAAAAGAGGATTGTCGCAAATGGATCAGTGTGACGAGAAGACTCGAACAAGTCTGCGGACAGAGCTGGTGAAGGCAGCGAGTGGTCGGGGAAGTACAGTCCGCGGCGTCAGTTACATGGTAGAAGATCGAAGATGGGTCGCTATCGATGGTCGTATCGAAGAGAGCATTAACTTGTCGCGCGAAGAAGTTCGTTCGTCCGTCCGAACGTCGAGAGAGATTGATCCGATTGTAGTAGGCGATAATCGCGGTGGCTAGCGCGGCCTCATGGAGCTGTTGAGGGGTTGCATCAGACCACCGTTGATGTATCCGTGGTACGTAGTGTAAACAGCCGCCGGATTCTGTTGGTGCGGGTCCTGCGGATAAGGTGCTGGTACGTTCACCACGCCGACTGGTAGCTGGCTTGCCTGGTTCATAAAGCCGCCAAGCTGCGCTGCTTGGTTCATATAACCGGTCGCTGGTTGCGCTACTCGATAACTATACTGGGCGGCTGCCATGAGATTCGTGTTGAGGGCAACATTCGGGCTGACGCGGCTCGCCGCACTTTGCATCTGTGGGCAGGTACCGCTCGGATCGAGGGTCTGCCGGTAGAGACTCTCGCTGGGATACGGCTGCGTGAGCGATGGCATATTGTTCGCGGACGAGCGTGAGGTGGATCGGCTAGGCGGTCCGGGCGTGCCAGGAGGCACGGTGTTGACGTTGTAACAATAATTTTTTGCGTAGCCCAATGGTCCAACTTGAGGTGGCGTTGGTAGCTGCCGCGATGTCTGCGGTGGTGTCATAGTATGTGGGATGGGTGGCGGCGGCGTGAGGTTCATCGCCGGTGGCGGCGTGGGTGGTATCATCTCCAGACCGTTGGTCAGTTGTTGCAATTTCGCGAGACTGCATGAATTGGTGGTCTGATGACCACCACCGGAAGTAGAGAGTGGAGCCGGCGCTGGGGTATGCGAATGTGGTGGCATCGGAGGATTTGTTTGTATGTAGAAATTCGTGGCGGTGGTGCAAGGTGTCGGCGCGCCGGAACGGCCGCTACGATGTTGGATCACAGCATAGGTATTCTGTGGGAAGCCCTGCGAACCCGCTACTGCCATGTAGTTACCCTGCGAAATCACTGCCATGTTGTGCGAATGCGCGGCGTGCGGAGTGTGCGAATGCGGATGTACTGCCGGTGGTACGCTCATCGACGACGGCGATTGCTGATACTGCGGTGGCATCGCAACATGCGCCGTGTGTGCCACGGTGCTGTGACTGGTCTGCGACGTCGCAACGCTGTGTTGAGAAGTCTGAGTGGTATGAGAAGTCGGTGGGGTAGCTCGATGTGACCTACTACTCTGTTGCGTCGACCTGGATCTGTGTGTGGTCTGTGAACCGCTGGCGCGCTTGCTGTGTGATTGAGATTGAGTTTGCTGTTGTTGAGGCTGCTGCTGATGCGTAGATTGTTGTTGCTGTTGCGACTGTGCAGACTGAGATTGACTGTGCGCCATACTTTGACTCTGTGCCAACGATAGTTGCATCGGTTGTGGCGTATGTGATTGGGGCAACGGCTGAGGCGTATGGCTTGGTGGCAATGGTTGCGGACTCTGCGTAGGTATACTTTGCGGCGTGTGCGATTGTGGCATCGGTTGCGGCGTATGGCTCTGCGGAAGTGGCTGTGGGCTCTGGGTCGGGATGCTCTGCGGAGTACGTGGTTGTTGAAGAGATTGCGGGGTATGCGGTTGATGCATTGGATGGATATTCGGATGATGGGTCGGTGGTGTATGCTGCGGCATCGAGCAATCGGCATACTGCACTTGCTGCGGCATATTCACCGACACCGATGACGTAACAGGCGTCGTAATCTGCATGGCGACTGAGATCGGTACGTTTGCAGGCGGCGGAATAGATGGTAAAGCACTGGGAGGTCTCTCCACGCTATTTTGCGATGCAAGATCACTGGCTATGGAAGTGGGTGATTCCAGGCCCAATTGACTCACATCTAGATCGCACTGGCTGTAATGCAACGAGTGTACAGAATTAGTCGTCGAGTCCGGTGTGTAGACTCCCATAGATGGTAAATCTGGTTGCGACGGTGGTGTTCTCTTCACTGAACCCGGATTCTCAAGATGCGGCGTGGTTTTACCGCTCTCAGGCGAATGCTGTTTCAGTTCCTCCGTCTGAGTTTGTAACTGCAAGGTTGTATCCTGATGTTCTACAGTGGGTAACGTTTTCTCCTGCGGCGTGAGAGGCTCGGCTTCCGATGTCACCACCGCGTTGATGAGAGTGCATGTATCTTTCTTCTCTGCGGGTAAAGGTTCCGTTTTCGGTCGCGACAGATCAATCTTGACATCCTTCGGCGTTTCGCTAACGAGCTCCTCTTTAGGAAAACTATCGCTATCATCCTTCTTCGGCATGACGCTGCTCTCCGATTTTTCAATTTCCTCCTCTTTTGGTGAAACAACTGGTTCAGGTACTGATTTCGATGCCTCCGGACTGCAAACTGGGCGCTTGTCAATCTCGGAGTCCTTATCACATTCGTTTAAAGTTTCAGTCTGATCGTCGCCGACCGTTGGTGGTAGATCCGCTGCTTCCACCTTCTGCAACGAACTTTCGTCGTTGTCTTTCTCCTGAATCTTGTTGTCCGCTTTCTCGTCCTCACACGATTCTTTCACGGGGTTCTCCGTGCTGGACGAGGCCGATTGCGTCACTGGTTTAGGCGTTGGTACAGTTATTTCTTCCTCCTCCCCTTCATCCTCATCACCGCCCTCATATTCGCCGGAACTCGCGGATACTACTTCCGTTTCCGTGGGAACGGGCAAACCATTGTCCTCTGCGCTCTCCTCGCTCTTATTATCGTTGTTACCGGAGTGCTTCGTGGACGGTGACTCTGGCACAGGCGGCTGTTTATTTTGAACGGGAGAGTTCTTCATCGACTCAGGCAGTGGAGACAATGAAGGTGGCGGTATCACAGGACTTTCGGCTCTATTCTTCGTGCTGGGAGATTCAGGCGTAAGTTGCGGCATCTTTAGGGCTTCCGTCGCTTTACTTCTACTCCGCCTAGATAGTGACGAATTCTTAATATCCCGTACTTCCTCTTTACCATTACACTGCGTCACATCCTCCAGAGCTTTCTTTTCCTTTGCCTGCAACTTAGTTTGTCTGTTGGTAACTTTCAACAAAATATCGTCCACTTTACATTGTTTCTTTGCCGGTTTAGGTGGACTCGACACAGAATCTAACTTAGGAGGCGTTTTTCTAGTGTCCACCAAAGTTTCTTTCAGAGATTCTCTTTCTTTTGCTTTATTATCCCTCTCTCTTACTTTATTCTTCTCTTTTTCGCGCTCTCGTTCACTTTCCCGCTCTTTCTCCTTTTCCTTTTCTTTTTCTCTTAGAGATTCTCGCGTCCTTTTCCTACTGCTGACTTCCACTTTCTCTTCCTCAGCCTCAATCTTCTCGGAATGTTTTCGTTTTCTTAAAGGTGTGATGATTGATTCGGACATAAGCGTTTTAGGTGGTCTGATTCTTCTCCTCGACATCGTCATTATTGGCGTCGATTTCGGCGGAGTTACATTTCTTGCCGAGCCAAGGGCGCGCGCGTTTCTCGGTGTAGACGTTACACTCTTAGCGTCTGTTTCCGAGCGAGAATCTTTCCGATTCTCTGTGCTCTCGACGTTACGGCTTTCCCTTACGGATTCTTTTGGTTCTCTCAACTCTTTCGCCGCCTTAATCTCCTTCGTATCTTTAACATCCTTCTCTTCTTTGGATACATCCTTGTTAGATGTTGCAGTCTTTTGCGAAGCCTTCGGTTTCACAGGTGTTGATTTCAAAGGTGTCGATTTCGAAGGTGTTGATTTCAAAGGTGTCGATTTCAAAGGTGTCGATTTCAAAGGTGTCGATTTCAAAGGTGTCGATTTCCTTTGGCTTACTCTTCTACCCCGAGATTTCTTCTTTATCTTCACTCTTTGTATCTTCTCGACAATAGCTGGCACAGGTTTAGGCTCAACTGCAGGAGACATTTCCGAGCTAGTATCACCGTTCTCCTCCTGGTTCTGATACGGATTAGGGATCTGCGTGACTAATGGTATCCATCTGAGACAGTCGGCATCCAGTTTGATGCGCAAACTCTTTCGTACTTTCGCCATGTGAGCATCTACCTTGCTCCAATCGACTACCACAGCCACTTTACTAGTGTTCGCATCTCCTGGCAAATGAACCGATCTTATAAATCCAAGCAATTGCATTGCTGTAGCGATATCGTGCGCTGATACGCCGGTTTCCTTCGTGATATCGCCCAGCTTGATCTCAGTATCGTTCCGATGCATGTCCAGGTATTCGAGCACTGCGCTCTTCCAGAA